TTGATCAAAAAGGTGGATCTTCAAACCTGGGAAGCGCAATCAAACAGAAATGATACGAGGTTCAGTACGAGGGTCAAAATCCACCGTCCATCTTAAAATGTTCATCACATGATTTTCAGTCTTCTCGCAAACAAATGAGCGTAGTCTGTTTCATTTGATAATTGAATGAGAATGTGTCAACCATCCAATTTATCGATCTTCCAACCCCCTTTCAGCTTCATTTGCTCAAAGTCCTTTCGAATTAGCTCAAGTTTAGGGTTTCCATAAAGAAACTTACCTACTAAGAACAGTTGGCAGGGCGCAGCTAGGGTGGAGATCTCTGCCTCAGTGAGAAAGATTGCAGGTTTATCGTTTTTACGGGAAAATTTTTTTAGAAATCCAATTTCAATGCCAAGAAAAAAATTGTCGTGGTATCGTTGCGGAAACATATTCGAAAGAAGAGCGGAGACGGGGTTATCACTGGCGAGAGCGGCGGCGTAGGAACGTCCTAAAGTCATTTCTTCAACAAGCTGTCCATCGGCACAAACAGACGCAAACAGACGCAGACATAGGCAGCCGCGAACTCTGGCGAGCGGTCGACAACGCTGGCAGAAGGCGAGTGGAAACAAATTGCTAGGCGACGCAGATGATGGCGCTGCAACGCGTGGAAGACGGCACAGACGCAGCTCGCATCTTCTCCGCCGCAATCGACGACGCCAACACATGGACACGTAGCAGCAACGACAATCGAAACACTAGGGTTCGTCATGGGGCGGAACCCTAGCAGAGCGGCGAGACGACGACATTCATTATATGTAAATAAATTTTATATATATATATCGTATTCATATAAATTTTTTGTTTTTAAAAATAAAAAAAATTATACTTTTTTTAAAATCTTTAAACAAATTAGCTAAGGAGCATTTATATACAAACCACCCATTCTAATGTATTTACATATCTTACACCTAAACTTCACTTCTTTACATTTATCCCACCCAAACTTTTCTTATCACACCAAAAATATCACGGTTTCAACTTTTAAAAGTGAAATACACATTTTCATGTAATGTGATATGTCAATAAAAATTGAAGTTTAGATGTTGGATATTGAAATACATAAGAATTGAGAGGAATGTATGTAAATCTTCCTTTCTTTTTCAAAAATGCATATCAGCCTGCTTCATTCGGTAGAGCAACTGAAAATTTTGGTATCCAAACCCTCTCTGGTCCCACTAGTGCTTTCAAAGCTGTCCATCTTTGAACACCCAAAACTTACAATTTTGATAATGACGAGATCTTAACAAAACTCCATCAAATACCATCATCTAATCACTTTATTAAGCATAATTAATCAATAAATTAATTTGGCTTATGATTATTAAGAGAGACTGAGTGCCACTTGGGTCCGACCATCTTTCAATCCAATCATTCACACTCCACACAACATAAACTAGTGAAGCAAATGACGACTCAAAATTAAGCAAAGAAGGAATTTTTTGTTAATCCAATTAATCAGAAATATTCAAATCATAAGAGATTAAATTCCTCAAGACAATAATCAGACAAATAATAGATGATATGTTTTACAGTTAAGCCAACTTACAACCGCAATTAATTCAAACAAAGCAAGGAAAGTGCAGATCGGAAGCTGAACAGTGGAGTTCTGAGTTCTCATTCACTGAGACAGAGAAGATGACGAAAACCTTGGATATGACTCTGAGAAAAGAGAAAATAGCCGTGGCGCCTCAGCATCAACCTTGATGAAGGATGGAGATAAAAACCATCTCGACAATGACACGATCCTCTGCCGACACGTTAGCAACGAATCTTGCTAGCGGCAGAGGCGGAGACTAGTTAAAGGGAGCAGAAATGAGCGACGTCACAAGGTTGAGAACAAGTGAGGGCAAATCTAGCATGCTTGGCGACAGGATCTCTGTTTGCTTTCTAAGCGAGAAAACGGCAGCGCCGCCTCCGCTGCCAACGTCAGTCAAAGGGATCGACCGCTCAACCAAAGGGAGAAAAGGAGAAGGAAAAGTAGCAGAAGATAGGTGATATCTGGGCCGAATCAGTTGCTCGCAAAATAGGTTTTAAAAACAATGAAAACATATTTTACCTATTTTCCGTGTTTTTAAAGCGGTTTAGTAATTGTTTTAAAACAATATAATTTAAGCACATAAAGACAATTAAAAATAACAAGTTTTTAAATTTTTTTTTTTAAAAATAAAAACACAAAACAAAAAATGGTTCCATAGGCCCAAAGCATTTGTCTACCTCCCATGTTCCAAGATATTTGATTTCCTCAATTCTAGACATGCCTTAGAACATTCATGGTAGTTGTGCTTAAAAAATTTTCACAACAGATTTTCCAAAGGATGACCATTTTAACCAACACTTTAGGCGCATACAACAAAGAGAAGAGATGTAGCAACAACCACATCTAAAGGTTTGCCAAAAATAAATCCAAGGAGTATGTTGTAGATTGGTTAAAGTAGTGTAAATGAAGCCAAGGAAAAGCAACCATTTGGGAGTGAAAGGTGTTTGCTTGGATGAGTCAAAAAGCGGAGGCCATTTTAGCGTATGCATAAAATGGTCGCTCACATAATAAAAGGGATGTAAATAAAAGTCTCATATAATTTGATTTAAAAGATAATCTTATAATAATATGACAAGGATCAATAAGCCCAAAAAAGAAGTCATCAATTTAAGGCATGCCTACCATAAATTTGTGTATAACTTTCCAAACAAGGGCAGCCAAAAAAAAAAATCCCATGATAGAGGAGGGTGAACTTTCTAGCACAAAACTCCCAAATTCAGTGAAAATAAGTGTAGTTTTGTTTTGTTAAGAGCGGAAATATGCTTGAGTTGAAGAGGGTCTGAATGTTGCTAAAAAGAATATATGGAGAAATGGTTGGCTGAAGTACATTCAATACCAGAAGCATTCAACCCCCTAACAACATCAACAAGAGATGGATTGAAAGCACCAGGAGAAATAATCATAAATGCTCTATAAGCAGGAGTAGCTGCAGAGAAAATAGGGTAAATCAGAGTAGATAGCGAAGAAAAATCTTCACAAATAATGGATAGAACATTAACTCAACGAGCATCCACTGTGGAGACAAGTGGTCGTTGCATTGGAGGCAAATGCAGGGAGTACAATCGTCAACGGGATCGACCCGATAAGTTTATGAAAACTGTCAAGGCAGTCAAATTAATATGAAAAATAAAAGCATCAATTAGATAGATAATGAACGGAAGACTAGCGGAACCAATAGGGATGCCATCCACGATGAAGGTGATTGCAAGAGCATGATATGCTTAGGATGCTGACGCCAGGAGGCATCAACAACCAAACAAAAATGCTAAATAAAAACTAGTATTGGAGACTTCAGATTGAGAAGCCCAAGATGGTCCGGCACAGCCACCAACAAGAAAGGAACAATGAAATGAACTTGGGTCAAGGAGCTGGCCAACAACGATTGACAAAGGAAAGGAAGCTCGCACTGCAGAGCACAAGCAAAGTAACAATAAGCATGACCAGGAGCTCTTGCTGATGCTGAACGAGTAGTGAGCAAGCAAACCACATCAGTCAGTAGCAAGTGAAGCATGAGCATAAGTGCAAGCAAATAAATGAGCAGCAACAACATGCTAAAAGGAACCCAAAAACCGACATGAAGAGTGTGGGTAGCCGTTTGGTGAGCCACATAGAAGATAGGTGTCATAGGGCTTGTCTGCAGACATGGTTCCCAACCTGAACAAGGGATTTCTTTGGCCAAAAAAAAATGTTCGAGTTAAAATAAAGATAATATCATGGAAAAAGCTGCATGGCAAAAGCTGAAAATTTCTTTTCCTAATGAATACTGGAAAGCGACCATAATTTTTTTTCCTATCATGATAAGCAAAAGAAATTTGAAAACTCCTATTAAACTAAGCAGCAGTATTTCCAATACTTCCATCAAAATCACAAGGCTCTTAAGAGTCATGGTAAACGATGTCTTCAATAATTAGAGGAAGATTCCCTACATTTATAGGAGGATCAAGATCAACATGCTTGCTGGCAGATGAAGTCATGACTATATTTGTAGGGCAAGAAGAGGCAAGCAAGACAAGCTTTAGTTCCATAGAAAAGTTTAAAATTCGTTTTAAATTCTAAGTGTAAGCATATTTGATGAAAGTGGAGCAGCAGCCACAGTGATAAAAAGTAGGATGTGATCATAGTACGAGTCTCCAAAGCCTGAAATTTTGATTTTCTCAATTCTGGATGAGTTCATTCAAAACAATTGAACACAAAAACTTTACAGAAGACAAAATAGGAAAGGATATCTTCAATTTTTCTACCAATATTCACAGGATAAAAAACCAACCTGTGCCCTCTTTAAAGGAGACAAATTTCAAATTAAACAAAACCTTTTGCCACAAATGGAAATGATAAATGAGTAGTAACAACATCAAATAGCAAAAATTTATTACAAAAAAGAACCCATAGAATATGAAGTGGAATAGTTAAAAATAATGTAGGCAAAAAATAAAATGTAACCCAAACTTGAGGGCTAGTTGTTTTCTCCTTTTTTTTCATTTAACTTGAGAGTTTCGTAGTAACTTAAAAGAATAAAAAATGGATAGATCATTCGCAATCACAACGTCCATTCTAAGGTTCTTAGAAGGTGTTTGAGGAAACATAAACCAGTTAAGGATATTGTAGGATGGATAACAGGAGTAGGAGGATGGATGGCGGCTGAAATTCAGCATGAATGGCGACTGAACAGCGAACTAGAAGAGAGAATACGAAAGGTGGCGGCCGTTTTGACAGCTGCCCTACTAAAAATAACAGTCGAGCGGCGAAATATTGAGGAGCATATGGCGAGGGGAATTACCACATGTTCCTGAGTAAGCTACAGACACACTACCTGTAAAAGGAAAAGATACATCTCACCAAAGAGCATAAAGTAGAGAACAAATTCTCCATGCAGTAACAGTAATTAAAAGTGTGCCAAAAACACACAGACACATAAATAGTCTTCTAGTAAAAAAAATTCTAATTAGAAATAAGAAAATGGGAAAGAAATTAAAAAAATGATAAAAATTAGCCGAAATCAGAAATTGAGCACGGATCGAGCGCGGAAGTGCCATTTTCACGGTATCGCGGAATTCCCGTGAATGGGATTGTGGGATTCTAAGATCCTATAACATAGTGGGACGCTCTACGCCACTAACACAGTAGGATAGTCAAGAGAAAAGTCTAGCATTACTTATTCTAAAGATAATCTCATGAAAATATGGAGGGTCAACTAGCACAATAGAGAAATCACCAAACAAATGTGACGCAGGCCTCGAGAGAGGACCGGTCGATCCTCAAGGAAGGGGGGCTGCCGCCCCCTCCTTCCCCTCCCCTCCGTCCTCCGTCCATTTCCCCCCTTCCTTTTTTCCTTCCTTTTCTTCTTCCTTTTTTCCTTCCTTTTCTTCTTTTCTTATTTTCCTTCCTAGCACTTTACTATTTTAAAACCTTTCCTAAAATTGAAATATGATTTTTATTCTTCTTCCTAATTTTAATTTTTTTCCTAAAATCTAAAATCTGATTTTATTCTCCATTTTATTTTAGTGTTTCCTAATTGGGTCAAATCTTTTTATAAATAGGAGTTAATGTGCATAGAGTCAAGATTCTTGTTTTTTAAATTTAAATTCATGTTTTAGTCTTTGGTATTTTTCCTTAAAGGGTTGTATCCGACGTCGAGGTAGTGCTCTGGCTATCCCTCTTCCGAGGTGGTGATCGTCTCCAAGGTTCTAAGTGGTTCTCCGGCTGTATCTCGACCCCGCCAAGGCATTTATCTTACCATACTTCTGTTTAGTTGCTGCCATGGTAGAATCCAGCCACCGCAGACCCCCCCCTCCCTTCCACTGTTGCCAGCCACCTGCTGCCCTCCTTCCAGCTCCACGGGTCACCTCTTTCTGCAGCTTACTGCAGGCAGCACCTTCTGGATGCCCCTTCCAGGGCCCCTTGCTTCTCTTCGGTTGCGGTTCAACGCCATTACTATCGCCAACCTGCAGTCCTTCTGCAATAGCAGCCCTACCTCTCCGACCTTCACCGCAACTGCCAATCAAGACTCCAACGACGTTCATGCACCTCTCTAGCTACGGTTCAACGTCGTTACTATCGCCAACCCGCTTTCCTACTTCTTCCACAGTAGCCCCACCTCTCCGGCCTTCACCGCCGCCGCCAATCCAGCCTCTGATGTCGTTCCTACTCCCCTCTTCGGCCTACTTCTTCCCAGCTGTGTTTCGACGTCATTACTATCGCCAATTTGTTGTCCTACTTCTTCCACAACAGTCCCACCTCTTCGGCCTTTCGGCCTACTTCTTCCACAACAGTCCCACCTCTTCGGCCTTCACCGCAGCCGACAATCCAGCCTTCCCTCACTAGACACCCTCCTCATCAAGCGGTTGTGTCTACTTGGTTGAGTCAATAGTTGTAATCCTTTGCTTTGTGATTTTGCTTTGTGTGAGTCTTCATTGTAACATTGTTTTTTAAGTCAGTAATAAATTGTGCCCTACGTTGTGGTTTGGGTAAACTCCAGTATCAAAATGTAAATCTATCATTAATATATGAATAATAGTGGGACAACCCAAGAAAAACTTGCTCACAATTAAAAAAAAGTTAAAAATTACCATTAGACTAAATGTTCAGGCGATGGAACAAGTGTCTTTCGCACGAAGGAAATCTTTCAAAGTACCCTTCGACTGCTCGTCTCCCCCCTTCCCTCTTATGCGACTCTTGAATACCTACGCAACTGCTTGAAACCTTCACGTGGAAGAAAGCTTGCACTTCTCTTTTTTCTTCTCTTCCTCCTCCGCCTAGCTTCTTTTGTTTCTCGCTCTCTTTCTCTCTCGCTTCCTCTCACACTCTGTCTCTCATTCAATGCTCTAATGTGGTCGAGTGAGAGGAGACAGAGAAAACCTTGTTTTAAATTTCTCGCGGGCAGTGAGAGCAATGTCCGAACAACGCCTGCTTCACTTGTATCGTAATAGATAAATTCATTTTTAGGGTTATTATTACATAGTTAGTGACTACTATGAATGATAGCAGTAGCAGTAACCAACATATTTAAATATATAAAGGAAAAGAAAGCATGATTTAAATACAATACTTGAAGCAGTGGTTAGTAGGGTTGTCAAAAAAGCTCCTCGTTAGAGAAAAATTCTTGCTCGGGTGGCTAAGTAGATTGTGTTTGATTCGTTCGTTAAGCAAGCGAGCTGAACACAAATATATTTTTAAATCCAATTTATAAAGAAGTTAAAAACAAATAAAATTTTGCACGATTATGTTCGACTCATTTTGGTTTGAATTAAATAAATAAAATTATCATAACATTTTCTATGATTTTTTTATGTTGTACTTGAAGAAAGTTAATTTTTTAGATTGTTTGCTCACATAAAAAACGCCGATCATCTGATGATCCGGTTTGGAGAGTAGATATTTTAGATTTGACTTATGTTAAGAAAGACAGAGGTAGACCTAAAAAGACGTGGGCATAATGTATAAAAAATGATCTTAATCTATTAGAATTAAATAAAAATATCACACTCAATAGGACGCAATGGAGAAAACGCAATGGAGAAAAAAAAAGGATTCATGTAGTCGACCCCACTTAGTGAGTTAAAGGCTTGTTGTTGTTGTTGTTGTTCAATTGCATTATTAAACCACACTAGCAATGATTATCATGTTTAATATGAATGAATTTCAAAATACCAATTATATACCCAAACAGTAGCAAGTAATTATCTTATAGAACATTTAGCTACTTGATTTAACAATTGATTATCTCACCTCAGTCGTCGAGTCCACCTAACGAGACTTCCCAAACTCTCCTTAAGTTCACCTCCTCATATAAATAATCTAGAATCACAAATTCCCCTTGAATTTATAGAATTCTTAAATTAAACTTAATTTAACAAATTTAAAATCTCAATTACATTTTTTTTACCTGAAATTGACCACCATCCAACTTTTACTTCTAATCTTCTTTCACCATAACCTCTCTGTAAATCTAAAGCCAAACCTGCTCCCAATCTGTTCAGGCAAACAGAAATTCATGAAACTAGAAAGAAATCATTAGATATTTATTTGGTTAAATGAGATATATACAAATATTTATTTAAATATACTTATAAACTTAATTTCCTTATATCCAAAACATACATCTTCTTCCTTATTTCCTTCCCTCCTTAACTTTCTTTTCTCTTCTCCTTCCATTTTTCTTCTCCTCGATTCTTTCCTTCTGCTTTGGCTGCAGCACCTATAGCCCGAGAGCTACTACGCCCATCTCTCAAGTGAACAAACGACCATGGAATGGGTTAAAGCAATGGATTACATATTTACTTCAGCTGATTAGTTAAGCTCAGATGTGGGAAATTGTAGAACTGCTACAGTGACTCAATTATATAACAGAAATAACAGTAGCGAAACAATACAAAAATGTATTTAACTGATTTTATTAGAGTGCATATATATAATTAATTATATTAATAATCAATATACAATCCTATATATCAATTTGAGGTGAATAAGATATAAAATTTTATAAAAATATTTTTGGGGATTTTCGGGAGGTGCAAAAAAATGGGGTGTAATTTAAAATAAACTTTAAATTACCTATACTATATGGCATTACATAAGACGTGCGAGTAAGGCATGTTGCAAGCTGCAATGAGTAGGTGTTGAACAGGAGAGCACACCAATACTGGGAAAAAAGAAGCAAGCGCCAGAGAGCCCGAGCAAGTGCAGACCAAATATGAAGGCAAACATAAGCAATGCAGACGAGCATACTGGTTGTGAACACACGCCGCAACCATGGGAGAACGTATGTGAGCTAGGATGCTTGTGAGGAGCGAGTGCGAGTAATAAATGAATTACAAACTTAATTCATTATGTTTATAAGTTACCAAGTGGGGTTGGTAAGCCAACCAAGCAGGCACAAGTGTGAGAGCAGGCATGAAAAAACAAGCTAGCAACCAAGAAGCAGCAACAAATTGCAAGCAAGCAAAAATGTTCACGACAGTGACACATGCAAGCCAGCCACACAAATAAGCAATAGTGGCACGGGTGCGGTAGTTTCCCACATGGAAGACAGCTGGTTGAATCGGCTGGTATAGGGGACGGTCCTTGGGACCCGACATCCAGAGTGTCAAGCGACATCAAGCACACTATGCGGCTTCCCTTTCGCGTCTTCAGCTTGGATCGAGCAACATTTGGGGAAGGCGGCATTGTCGCCTGCTCTTTTCTCCTCCTTCCTTTCTCGCCGTCTTTCCTTTCTTGTTTCTCATCTAGTTAGTTCTATTTATATACTAGTTTTCTGAGTTAGCGTTAGTATTGATGTGTTTGTTTTTCAGATTTCCTGTGTGGAGTCTTTTTCCCTTTCGTAGGGTTGTATCCGAGAAGATGGTGATGCTTCGATTGTATTCTACTCCGAGGTGGTGACATATCTTCCCTAACCTGTATCTTCCACTCCCCTTAGTCGCTGGTCACTCCAAGCCTTTCTCAACCGCCTCCATCCCACTTTCCAGCCGTCCAACCTGCTGTCCAACCCCACAACCTGCTGTCTAGTCGCCTTACCTGCTATCCAAACTCTCATTACCTGCTGTCCAGACTCTCGTTAGCTGCTGTCAAACCTTTCCAGCACACC